GTGAGCCATATATTCCTTGGTACCTCACTCTGGCTTGGAACTTACTGTGCAATCCAGCCTGGCCTTGACCTCACAGAAATCCCACTGCCTCAACTTCCCAAGACCTGGTTTTAAAAGCATGAGTCACCACTTCTGGGGAAAACAATGACAAAACCCAAAAAACTTCTTTTGAAAAGAAGTCAGTAACTTAAAAGGATTATGCCAAATAGGAAGGTCAACTTGTAGGAGGAGTTATAGGCAGCACATTGTTAAGAACAAGAGGACTATTGCTAGAATGTGGACTGGAAGATTGGCTTATCTTAGGATGCAATGGATGCAACATTGGGAACTTTAAGACAGAGAAAATGGTGTGTTGGGTGACCAGGTGCGTGTGCTGTTGTAACATCAGGAAGAAAGTTTTTCTGTGTCAGTCATCTGCTTCAGCATAGTCACATCCTATGACTTGGGCTTGAAAAAATTTTTTTTTGCATGTTTTAGCGTCTTTGCATCATGTGCATGCAGTGCCGTCAGAGGCCAGAAGATGGTGTTGGATGCCCTGGTACTAAAGTTACATATGACAGGGAGCCACTATAAGAATGCTGGGACTCCTATGAATGAGTACATACCATATTTGTCTTTCTGAGTCTGGGTTACCTCACTCAGGATGATTTTTTTTCTAGATCCATCCATTTGCCTGCAAACCTCATAATGTCATTGTTTTTCTCTGCTGAGTAGTATTCCATCGTGTATATGTGCCACAATTTATTTATCTATTCTTCAGTTGAAGGGCATCTAGGTTGTTTCCAGGTTTTGGCTATTACAAACAATGCTGATATGAACATAGCGGAGCAATTGCTCTTGTGGTATGATTGAGCATTTCTTGGGTATATGCCCAAGAGTGGTATAGCTAGACCTTGGGGGAGATTGATTCCCAATTTTCTAAGAAAGTGCCATATTGATTTCCAAAGTGGTTGTACAAGTTTGCATTCCCACCAGCAGTGGAGGAGAGTTCCCTTGGTTCCACATCCTCTCCAGCATAAAGTGTCTTCAGTGTTTTTGATCTTAGCCATTCTGACAGGCGTAAGGTGGTATCTCAGAGTTGTTTTGATTTGCATTTCCCTCATGATTAGGGATGCTGAGCAATTCCTTAAATGTCTTTCAGCCATTTGAGTTTCCTCTGTTGAGAATTCTCTATTTAGTTCTATAGCCCATTTCTTAAATGGACTGTTGGTCATTTTGATGTCTAATTTCTTGAGTTCCTTATATATTCTGGATGTGGAACAAGGATGACTGGACTGCTTCATCAGGGAGGCTACCTGGAAAACAGGACCCCAAAAAAGACACGAGGATTGCCCAATGACAGAGAAATGGCTGAGATCTACATGAACAACCTGAACATGAGTGGGAGCAATGAAGGGCGAGGGTCGAGGGAAAGAGAGCCTGTGGGAGTGGGAGATCCGAGCTGAATCAAGAGCAGAGAGGGAGAACAAGGAATAGGAGACCATGGTAAATGAAGACCACATGAGAAAAGGAAGAAACAAAGTGCTAGAGAGGCCCACAGAAATCCACAAAGATACTTCCACAATAGACTGCTGGCAATGGTCGAGAGACAGCCGGGACTGACCTACTCTGGTGATGGGATGGCCAAACACCCTAATTGTTGTGCTAGAAACCCCATCCAAGGACTGAGGAATCTGGATGCAGAGATCCACAGCTAGGCCCCAAGTGGAGCTCCGGGAGTCCAATTAGCGAGAAAGAGGAGGGTTTATATGAGCGAGAATTGTTGAAACCAAGGTTGGATAAAGCACAGGGACAAATAGCCAAACGAATGGAAACACATGAACTATGAACCAAAGGCTGAGGGGCCCCCAACTGGATCAGGCCCTCTGAATAAGTGAGACAGTTGATTGGCTTGATCTGTTTGGGAGGCATCCAGGCAGTGGTACCAGGTCCTGTACTCAGTGCATGAGTTGGCTGTTTGAAACCTGGGGCTTATGCAGGGACGCTTGGCTCAGTTTGGGAGGAGGGGACTGGACCTGCCTGGACTGAGTTTACCAGGTCAATCTCAGTCCTTGGGAGAGGCTTTGCCCTGGAGGAGGTGGGAATGGGGAATGGGCTTGGGGGAAGGGGAGGGAGTGGGAGGGGGGAGAACAAGGGAATCCGTGGCTGATATGTAGAACTGAATGGTATTGTAAAATAAAATAAAATAAAATAAAATAAAAAGAATGCTGGGACTCGAACCCATGTCTTCTGGAAGAGCAGCAAGTGCTCCAAACACTGCCGTCTCTGCAGCCCCTTGAGGCTTATTTTTTTTTCCACTGAAAATCAGATTCTTAAACATCTGTTCTCAGTGTCAAGGACCAAAGAGAGAGCTGTATGTAACACTGACTCTCACTCAGGAAATGAGAACCCTTAACATAATGTTTATACTTTTAACTGTAGTTCATCTGTCTTCACTGTTGAATAGTACTGTTACATTAAAATACCATAATTTATTTATCCATTTATGTGATAAAAGACATTTAAATTCAGTTTGTATTTACATAATTAATAACATTCATGTATAATCTCCTTTTTAAAATATTTCTTTTATTTTTGAGATTATAATTGCATTTCTCCCTTCCCTTTCCTCCTTTCAAGCATTCACATATACCCCTCCTTACTCTCTTTCAAGTTCATATTTGTTGTTACATTAGGAATTACATTTGCAACAATGTAATTGTTTGTTTTTTTATTAATTATTGTTACATATATATGCATATACATATATATTACTAAATTGCTCAGTTTGTATGACGTTACTTGTATGTGTGTTTTCAGGAATGACCATTTGATATTGAATAGCCAATTGTTGTGTTATGGGGAAGACTACTTTGTCAGACCTCAGCATTCTTTAGTCGCGTGTAGAGTTTTAGAAGAGCAAAAGCAATGGGATGGAATTGAAATTCCTGGATACCAGGCTGTGAGCATCCTCACAAATCTTGCCAGATGGACTTCAAGTGGTTGTATCTATTAATACTTCCACCAGAGTATATGCACTTTCCCTTTTTGCTAGGTTTTCTCTTTAGGCTCCATTATTGGTGAGCTTTCACAGGTAAATCTTTCCTGTCATATACAAAAGATACTATCTTGAAGCTTATTTCCTGGTCCTCTGGCTCTTACAATCTTTCCATCCATCCTTCTGAAATGTTTCCTGAGTCTTGTGTGTAGGGGTTGTGTTGTAGATATATCTATTGGGGTGGGTACCCCATAGTCAATTGTTCTCTACATTTTGACCAGTTGTGGCCTTCTGTCATCATCAATCTGTTGCAGAAAGAAGCATTTTTGATGAAGGGTGAGAGCTACACCTGTCTGTGGGTATAAGGATGAGTATTTAGAATGCAGTTAGAAATTATACAGGTTTAGGAGAGTGGCAGCAGTAGGTTCTCCTCTGGGGTCATAGGCCTCAGTAGGCTAGGTTTACAGTATCTGGCATGCATTCCCTTCTATTAAGCAGGCCTTAAGTCCGGTTAGATGGCTGCTGGTTACCCTCAGTGCCACTATTACACATTAATTGTTTTTTTCCCTTGGCAGCTTGCATAGCTCCTTGTAGTACTATGAGAATTAATACCCAGGAAGGAGGCTTCCACGTCAGATCTAACTCAGTTTCTCCTCTACCTGAAGTATCTGATGTCTTCAGCAATAGGATCTTACATTCAATTTGTAGGAGGCAACCAAAGGTGATGGCAGTAATCTATATTCTTAGGGTGGTCTTCTCTGACCAACAACTCAAAAGGAGGTTTCCCATGCCTGGCAATGGGGTTTTGTTAGATGTTTATGGCTTTTGGGGGAGCATTGTCATCATAAGTGGCATAACATCTTTTAAGCTACATACATGTGTAATTTATATATACATAATTTTAGTAAACATGAAATAATATGATTCCCTATGGCCTTTTCAAATAGCTTTAGTATTGCGTATTCCTCCTCTACCTCTGAATTGCCTTTCCTCCCTCATTCCCTAGTCAGTCCCCTTCCCCATTTTTTTCCATTTCCCCCTTCATATCATCAGTGCTTGGAAGGCAAAGGCAAATGGACCTCTTTACATAGTGGACTTGATTTACACAGTGAGTTATAGGCCAGCCAGGGCTACATAGGAAGACTTTGGAGAGGGGGATAGGATATTGTTGTTTTTTGACATTGACAATGAATAATTCATGACTCCTACATTGCTTTTCATGAATGCCTCAGTCAGGTGGATATCAAGAGTTTATATGAGTATGAGACTCCTTCTGAGGTGGCGGTTCTGTATCCTTGATATATTTCTGTTCTAATTTCACATTGTATTACTTAGCATACATTTATAATAAATGCTGATAGCTGGCAGGCAATGAGTATTACCTGGATTATCTTTAACATTTGTCTTTGGCATTTTCAATGACAAAAACGTGTTTTTAAACATGTCTCAAAAACAGCATACTTTGTATGATAAATACAACAATTTTGATTTTTCAATTAAAAATAAAAGGGAAAGTTACAAACATACTCATATACATATAATATATATCTAATGTAATTTTCATGGGATTGTGTTGGGCATGTAGAAGAATTTGGGAATTTTGAGATTAGTTTGATTTTCTAGCAATCAGAGATTATCTATTTAAGTGTCAACTTATTGTTCTTTCTCTTATCTTTGAGATGTTCATTGATTGCTTTATATTGACTCACTAATGAAGGCATTTCCAGGGTAAATTCTTTGTTTGAGATTAATCTAGAATTGGCATTTTTCAAAAATGTGATAACACTCATTTCAGGATATTTACCAGAAGCAGAGACCTGTGTTCTGTGTAACAGCTCTGGCTGTCCTGGAACTTGCTTTGTAGTGCTGGGATTAAAGGCATGGGTGACCACTGCCCAGCTCTGTGTAGATATTCTTACATGAAGTTTTCTGTTTAAGTATGAATGACCATTTTTTTAGATTGTTTCCTCTGCCAATTTACTTATATGTGCTTACAATTAATATGCCTCTAATTGCTTTATAGGTGGCAAGATGCTAATCAGTGAAAGAGCCTACCGCTGGCCAAGAGGAATTGCTCGAAGTAGATCTGAAGGAAATTTGGTTGACATGGAAGCCTCAACACTCTCAAAAAATCATAATATTACAGGTACAAGAATTTATAATATGGTAATATTTCTGTGGAATTAAGTCAAATCATTTCCTATACGTATGAAATGTTTGCCTCTAAAAAGTGCCATAGAAGATTTACAAAACTACCAAGTACAAGTGCTATCACAAATAGAATATCATTAAAGATAAATGTTTTCTTAAGAAAGTACACTAATATGGGCTAGAGAGATGCCTGGGTGGGTAAAGTGCTTTCCACTTAAGCACGAGGACAAGGCTTTATTTTGCCTGTATACATTAAAAGGCAGGCATGGGGTGTGCATCTGTAGTCCTAGTACTAGGGGATCAGAGACAGGCAGATTTGGAGCTTACTGCCCAGCAAGTGTGGCAAGTGAGCTCCAGGTTCAATGAGAGACCCTCTCTCACAAAATAAGGTGAACTGTGATAGAGGGAGACACTTAATGTCAACTTCTGACCTTCAAATAGAGATGTAATTGTATGCACATTCCCTCCCACACACATGCACCCCCCCCCCACACACACGCATGCACGCACGCACCACACACACACACACACACACACACACACACACACATGCACCACACATACACATACACCACGCACACACATGTACCACATATACACACATGCACCACACACACACATACACCACATACACACACACACATGCACCACACACACATATACCACATACACACGCATGCACCACACACACATACATGCACCACACACACATGCACCACACACACATGCACCACACACACATGCACCACACACACATACATGCACCACACATACACATACACCACACACACATGCACCATATACAAATACATGCAGCACACACACATGCACACACACACAAATAAATAAAGAATACTCACAGATTACAATAAATATCATAAAGAGGCACAAATTTATTAATAAATGAATAGTATGTCCTGCAAATATTGTACACTTAAATGGAGACAAGCAGAGACTGAAGCAGCCTAATAATCTTCATGAAGCAGAATCCATTTACCTGATATCAGAGGGGAAAAAATGAGTTTTGAGAGAGTTGGGGTAGAAGGATTGAGGATGTGTGGTAATAAGATAAATACTATTTCTGTTTTCCACAATCCATCTCATACTTTTTAATAAGTAGCATAACTCACTTAAAGCAAAATAAATGCTCTATGAATATCAATTCATAGAAAGTAACAATTTTCTGAAACTCTTGTTTCCAGAAAACTTCAGATAACTCAGTTGTGCACGATGGCTTTTACTGTGCCTGAGGCAGCAGCAAATACACGGAGCCTTCACGTGTGTGACTAGTAGTTTCTGTGAAAAAGCCAAACAGAAGCCGCTCTGAACATAAAATAACCTTGACGCTATGGGATATGTTGAAGTTTTTATGTGCTCTTCAAGCCCTTTCCAGAGACATAATAAAGTTTCTGTTTCTAGTGGCATCCCATAAAGTCCAGTGAATTCCTGAAGGCAGTAACTTCACTGTCAATCTATTTTTTTCAGTGTGTCTTTCACACACATACAAAATGTAATGTTAAATTTATTAATACAATGTTACCAGAACATGAATAACTAATGATAACTTTAACTTAGAAGATTGCTTAGAAAACTATTTTAAGTATGTATGGATATGTTTGACATTCCTTAGGTATTATTTGAAAAGAAAGACATCAAATTGATCCTTTGGACATAATGAGACCAACAGCTCAATGTTTAGAAAAATCTGGATGTTGGCTGTTTTTTTCAGGAGTTTAGGTAAATGAAACATAAAATAATTAGGCATAACTTTATGGAAGTATAAGTGAATGTGTTAAATACATTATTAGTGTGTTGTTATATGTAATTATCTACTATACTCAACATTCATTCACTTTATATTTCATGATACCTTAAGATAAAATTAATGTACCTGTACTCAAAATAACTTGGTATAAAATTCCCTTTTCCTCATTATAAACAAATTGATATGATTTACTACTGAGCTTGTAGTAGACAGCAGCCTTAAAAATCAAAACCTAAAGTAAGTTTTGAATTTTTAAAGTATGAATAAATCAATCATGGTTGTATCTCAGACTCCCACTTTATTTATTTTTTGCTTTGTTTTTGTTTAAATATCAAGCATGCCAGAAGCTCGGCTTTCCTCACAATTGGCCAGATGCTTCTGTTCATCATGGCAATAGTACTGCAAAAGCTACAAATCCATTCTGGAATGAGCTGTCTGCCTCGAACCCATTTCTGGATGACATCACTCAGCTAAGAAATAACCAAAAGAGAGATAATATGTCCATTTTGAAGGAGGATCCTTTTCTTTTTTCAAGACAAATAGAAATAGGGAATTCTTTTGATTCCTCTGGTGATGAACTTGACATGGATCACTTGCTTAGGCCATCTTCCTCAAGGAAGTCAGGAAGATCTAAGAGTGTTTCAGAACTCCTGGACATCTTAGATGATACAACACATACTCATCAAAGTATACATAGCTCTGGCCAGATCCTAATACAAGACTTAGAATGGCTTCAAAATGACCGAGAAGCATATAAAATGGCTTGGCTAAGTCAACGTCAGCTGGCCCGCTCTTGCCTGGATCTGAATATAGTTAATCAGAGTCCTGGGTGGGCTCAAACACAAATTGCAGAGACTATTGCATTTTGTAAATTAAACCATCACGGAGGATCAGTGCAGTTACCCAACTCAGATATCACCGTTCATGTACCCCAAGGACACGTAGCTGTAGGAGAATTCCAGGAGGTATCTCTGAGAGCATTTTTGGATCCTCCACCAAAGCTGAACCATGATCTGTCCTGCACTGTAAGCCCTCTGTTGGAAATCAGGTTAAGCAATCTGAAGACCATGGAAGCTATTTTGCTGGAGATGAAAATTGGAGCAGAAGTGAAAATAGATCCTCTGAGCCAAGTCATGACAGAAATGGTGTGTTTACACAGCCTGGACAGAGAAGGCCCTTTCCAAGCACTAAACAACTGCTATTTCTACAAAGACACAATTCAAGCAAAGATTCTTGATCTGAGCCCTGTAATGTACATAGTCATAGCTGTGCAAGCTAAGGCCATTCAGCCACCAGCTGCTACTATTTGGGATTATATTCATAAAACCACCTCCATTGGAATTTATGGACCCAAATATATCCACCCAAGTTTTACTGCTGTTTTCACAGTTTGTGGACACAACTATGTGCCAGGAAAGTTTACAGTCTCTGACATTAGGAAGGGTGGAAAAAACATATCTCCGGTAGTATTTCATCTCTGGGGGAAGCATTCATTTTTACTTGACAAGCCACAAGATTTAATTATTTCAGCTTTTTCATGTGATCCTGATTTTGAAGTAAAGGTAGAGAGAGAAAGGAAAATAATTGCACAAAGGCAATTGGAAGCAGGTGCAGTAGTTCATCAACAAATGTCCTTTTCTTCAGTTGACCACAGAGAGATGCACTTGTTTGTTTTCAGGGTTCATGTGGGGCCTCCCAGGGGAAAACCAGTCACACAATTTTTTGTCACTTCACCTGATCCAGCCCCAAACCTAAAAAGGCTCTCACATCTTCAGAGCTATTTCCAGAAGGAGAGAGAAGGCAAGAGAGTGCCTTTGTTATCAGCGGGCCTTGTTAAGTACCCCACTTTCCAAGATAAAAATATGAACTTTACCAATTATGGGGTCACACTGAAGACAGTCCTGAGGCAAAGTAGGATTGACTACTTACTTGATTATTTAAAGGGGGATACAATCGCCCTTCTTGGAGAAGGCACAGTAAGAGCCATTGGACAATCCAAAGTGAAAGAATGGTATGTAGGAGTCCTCCGAGGTAAGGTCGGACTTGTGCATTGTAAAAATGTCAAAGTGATTTCCAAAGAACAAGTGATGTCTCTGTCTGATGGCATTTTGACAACCAAGAATCTTTTGGAGCAAATTGCCTTGCCATTTAAAAATATGACTTATATATACTCTGTTGTATTGACCCTGGTATCAGAAAACATTCATGACTGGAAAGTTTTAGCTAATGTCCTGGGCTACTCACATCTGGCACAGGAAGATTTTGATCAAATTCAAGCAGACAAGGAACCAGAAAGGGTTTCTTACATTGTCAAGAAGTTAAAGGAAGATTGCCACGAAGACAGAAGTACCAGAAAGTTTCTTTATGAACTGATTGTGGTGAGTATTGGTTGATCGTAATAACTCATTTAGAGATCTTGATGATATTTATAACAAACATGAAAACTAGTAGTCATAAATACATTGAAGTCCCTGGGAACTTTTCCTACAAGGTCATAGCATTAGATTCATGATTTGAGAGTCAATCATGATTTTCTCAGAAAATAGGTCTGCAAAAATCATCTTTTAAGAGGGTTTAAAGGTTGTATTTTTGTTGGGCCCTTTCCTTTAAATTTAAGAGATTAACTCTTCTTTTCTCAAATATTTAGATAGCCCTTCAAATATAATAGGAGCTCCATAACATGAAAGTAAAGAAGAACAAACAAACAAAAAGATCTGGCCTACTAGTGGCTCATTTTTCAATATTTGTTTCCTTCAAACACATAAGTATTATCCACTATTTCATCAGTTTAATGTTCTTCGGTATGTAATAATTCATGACCCCAACAATGATTCTGCTTACACTATATTTAATATTCTAATAGAATTTTCAAGGATCAACTCTTTTTAGCATGTAAAAGCCTTGTGAAGAATTATAAATAATTGGATTTAAAACAGAAATTCAATGTTATAGTAACAAAATATCAAGATGACATCTCTAAAGAAGATTAAAATATGAATGTATGAAGGTAGCTAATACTTCCTAAATGCTAAATGCTAAAACTACCTTCAAATAGTGTGTTGGGGAGCATAAAATTGTCATTGGTTGTTTTTTATTCTTGGTCTTTTGGGGGGCCTGAGACCCAGTTCCCAAATAAAAAACATGGAGGCTTATTATTTCTTATGAATGCCTGGCCTTACCTTAGCTTGTTTCTAGCTAGCTTTTCTTAAATTATCCTGTCTATCTACCTTTTGCCTCTTGGATTTTTCCCTTTCTTACTTCTGTGTATCTTACTTTCACTCTTACTACAAGGCTGTCTGGGTGGGTGGGTGGCTGGGTGGATGACATCTCCCTCTCCTTCTTTTCTTGTTCCTTGATCTCTTCTTCCCAGAATTCTTCTCTAATTTATTCTCTCTGCCTGCCAGCCCCACCTATCCTTTATCCTGCCTTGCTATTGGCTATTCAGCTCTTTATTAGACCAATCAGGTGTTTTGGACAGGCAAAGTAACACAGCTTTACAAAGTTAAATACAGCATAAAAGAATGCAACACATCTTTGCACCATTAAATGATCCATAGCATAAACAAATATAACACATCTTAAAATAATATCCTACAACATAAAATGTTTTTGCAAGTACATGTTAGTAAGTGTACTGAATAGCATAAGTACGAAGTCAGTGCCTGTCAGTATGGAAATGATGATTGAGGCAGTGAGCAGAGACATGTTAAGAAGTAAGTTTTAATAAAGCTGGAAACAGCAAAGAAAAAATGGTGAATGAATTCAATCTGTGACATTGATAATAATTTGTATGCTTAAGAAATGATTGTAAAATGGGACCAAGAGCAGTAAAACTTGAGAGCTGTCTAGTTGGCAAGTGGATAGTTTTATTATGAGATGCTGTGTTCCCACTGACTGTGGGCCCAGATGACTGAATACTAGAAGCTGTCCTGCTCAGTATAAGCTATACATTCATTTTGTAATAGCTTCTTTGTGTAACTCAGATGTTGTTCAGCACAGACTCAGAAAACTACAAACAAAAGTTTACTTTCTTTTCTTGGTAGCTGAAAATAAGTCAGGTCTGATCATACCTGTAGTTTGGGGAGGGCATAATAAATTATAGAATATCTTGATTAAACAATGCTGACCCAATTCAAGAAAGTGTATTTAATGGACCAAACAATTAATACTAAGCCTTAGTGGTACCATAAGGACATCCTTCTAAAAGAGGCTTCGGCTTGGCCATCTGTTAGCAAACTATTGACCCTTCTGTGGTATAGAGTTATATCTTCAAACATCCTTTGCATTAAGTGTAAATTTTTCTTGCTCTGTTTCTTGATGGGTCAAGTTGAGAAGAAAAGAGTGAATGCTTTTGTCTACTTAATATGTGACATTTCTGAAAGCCCTTCAGTATGTGCTTTTACATTAGTTCTAGAAGATTAGGCAGAATGGTATTGTCTCCATATCCACTATACAAAGCATTACAATGGTATATCAAATACTTCTTATGAAATTGTACTTTGCCATTGTAAAACATGCCACAAAACTCAAGTATGCTTTGCAGGACTTCTGACTTGGGATTGCTTCTCACTGGGGCTGCCATTGTCAGAATAAAAAGAGGGGTCAATAAAACTAGTGTCTAGAGTCCATGAACTGTCCTGTTGATTGTAGATCTCATGAGGATAGACATGGTAGATTTTAATTAGTGCCTTTTCAATTAATTTTACTTTATTTACTTTTTCATATGGGTAAATAAAACTCCTAGGTACTCTTACATAATAAAGGACTGCCAAGCATGTTTACAGACTTATTTGCATATATATGTATCTATTCATATATTTTTTAAATATACTCAAAGCATAAAAGAAACTTATACTGCCAGAAACAAATAGTCAGAAAGAAAGCTCAAGTGTGCAAAAAATGAAGAAAGGGAGTCTGGTAGCATTCCACTTTCACATCGTAGGGGAGCATTTGCTTTATTACCGTGTGGTTTACATTAACAGCATCATGTTAGTGGTGAGGAAGGCAGATGATTTAAATTCAAAAACATCTGTAGCTTTGTTCAAAATTAAAGGACCAGCATGTGTTTATTCAATAAACATGATTCTAGGAAAAATTTAAAGCACATTTTGCTGAAATAGATCTGTGTTAATCCTCTGTTAAGGTAAGGAATAAGTTTTGAGGGGAGTGAGTAATTAATTACCTCTAGATTCAGAGATTATCAACTGCTGGAGTCTGATAAACAGTTGATTTTGTTCCATTAGTAGTTAAAGACGTTAAGACATATATTAAGAAAGTGGTTTACCAATGATGCCATAGTTAGCTACTGAGGCTATATTAATGCTCCCCTAATTCTAGTATATGTGATCACTGTGATTAATGTGTTCAATTTTCTTAAATATAAATCACTGTTCTGAGTTTGAAAACCTCAACTATATGTGTGGTGGGTAAAGGGATTCCAATTTCTAGAAAACATAATGAAAATTGTAGTTTAAAGGAAAAAGTCAATGAGTTGTATTTGAGTATGATATATACTTGCTGCCTCAGGCTCTGCTAAAGATGGATTGCCAAGCATTAGTGGCGCGTCTTATCCAAGAGGCTGTTATACTGACCTCAGCTGTTAAGCTTGGAAGAAGCTGGAGGGAACTTGCTGAGAAGTCGGCAGGACTCACTAAGCATCAGATGCAGGCATATGAAATTCCCTACCGAGGAAAATCTGGAGATGTTTCAGCTGAGGTGAGACTTTCATATATGTTATATTTAGCAGTGACAAATGGTAGCCAAATAATGAAAATATAATTTAGTCTTCTCCATATTCATGAATTAATTAGAGGAACACTTGGGGAGATCTACTAAATGAAGTTACTATCTGGGTAATCCTGTTGGAAATATTTGAAATATATGTACTGTACTTGTAAAAAACACATTTATATTTCTCTTGTTAGATTTCATATTAAAACATGGCTTTTGATCAAAATTAATTAATTAAATTGGGACAGTGATGACACAAGGCTACAAGAATTTAAGGCATAGAGCAGGTGCATTTTGGAGTCAAACAATACTATCAATCAAGTCAACTCACAGAAGATATACTTAATCATATGTGACAAGTGATAAGTGCCTGTTAATGACTACTAGGAGGGTGAATGATGTTGGGCCACTGGAAATGATTGACAGAGATATCAAAGAGCCATTTAATCTCTTTTGAAATTCTATGTACAGTAAGAACTATAAATATCATACACAGAATGAAAGCATTTAATACAAAGATATTTGTCACAAAATCTGATTGTGTAAGTATTGTTACATGGATTCTACTATGTACATAGCATATACGTATTTCTTCAGACTGTCATGAAAGAAATGTGATCCAATTTTTCTCAAATTAAATAAAAATATTTTCCAACAATGAGTATACGTTAGGTGCCCTGCATCTTTAAGCAAGTTAAAACTTTTTCAAGGTTTTTAAGTTAAGGCCAATATTCTCTATTTTGAGATATATAAGCACAATCTACAAGTTCTGTGTCATTTTGGGTCATAGAGATGGATATATATTTTTTTATTTTTTCAAGACAGGGTTTCTCTGTGTAACAGCCCTAGCTGTCCTGGAACTCCTAGAGATTTGGCTGCCTTGCCTCTTAAGTGCTGGGATTGAAGGCCTTTGCCACAACACCTGGCTGTAAGATGAATTGCTACATGGTCTGATTAATAAAAAACCTGGAGCCAGATATTGGGGTAAAAACTGAGAGATCAGGGAAGCAAAAAGAAGCCAGCTATGTTCTTACTGCTAGAAATCCTCAGCCAAGAGAGAGTTACTTCCTGTATATCTACACCTATATACCTTTCTGTCCCTTCCCTCTTCATCTCTCTGCCCATCTACACCACTTCGTGTCTGTCTGTACAGACATCCAGACCTCCATGGTTAGTGCTGGGATTAAAGGCATGTGCCACCATGCCTGGCTTTGTTCCTAGTGTGGCCTTGAATTCACAGAGATCTGAATGAATCTCTGCCTCCCGTATGCTAGGATTAAAGGCGTGTGCTACCATTGCCTGACTTCTATGTTTAATATATTGGCTGGCTTTTTCCTTGGATCTTCAGATAAGCTTTATAGGGGTGCACAAATAAAATATCACCACACCTGCCCATAAAGATGGATATTTACTTTTGAGATTCCTCTTCTTACCATAAAGCAACAATTCTTTTGGGTGACCAGGTTGCAAGAGTTCAGTCAGTCAAGTAATTTGACTTCTTCCAGCTGCAGCAAGTGTCAGCTGGACAGCTGCTGAATTCCTGAAACCCAGCTTACAAGTGAGAACTTCTAAACAAAATCTACCCAGGGGCAGCTATGGACTGGACACATATGTCCCACTTGTTGGCTACACTTATCTCCATAAACCTAGAAGGAAATTGAAGCCTATCAATGAGCAGACTCTAGCATGAGCATAACACACAAGATGGACACAAGTTTTCTCTGCGTGAGTTGAAAAATCAGCAACCTTGAGGAAGAAAAGAGTATGTGAGAATTGTGCTGTTGTGGTCCTGACATTTCAGTTAACTAGTTAGAAAGCTGTCTAATTGAAAGCTCCTCTTCTTTTGTCTATGATAGGGCCTTGCTTTTAAGAGTTTTGTTTAGACTTACTGGAGAGCTGCTTGTCCTGCCAGCCTTCCTAAGCATCTGGATTCTTTCTAATTGTGTTTATTGTTTGTCTCCTCTTAAATCTTGATGCAGGCTAACACACAGCCTATTTTTCCATTATTTGCTTTCACACAGCCCAAATCCTAAGTGACTAAGTCTGTGTCTGAGGCTGATAAAATCTCAAAAGCATAAAGGAAAGCCCCTAAATGTTTTCTGAAGCCAACAGTTCAAGTCATTGCAACGAATACTAACAGCCAGTACCTGACCTATATTATCACTTAGAAAAACTCAAAGGCATTTTAGCCTGAAGCCATTCCAAATGTCCTATAACAAATTTTACCTGTTTGACCACTTAAAGGGACAATGTATGCTAATTTCCACAATCTAAAGTGTTATTGTAGAGTTTTTAATCTCCTTGAAAAAGATGGATCTTAAACATGATGGATTTGACAAGATTGGTAGTTGAATAGCTCTAAGTGAGGGTGCAGTGGTCAGGAACTGGCTTTGGGGTGAGGAAACACCAACTTAGTGTTCTTTTGCTGTGCTGTCTTTGTTTCTGTCATGTCATTTACTCTAAAATATGATCTATGGGCCTGTGCCCCTGGTACGTTTTTTTTCTTCTGAGACACAAAAACCTGGGAATCTCTGCAGGTTCCCCTGAGACCCAGCTTGACAACTATGGTATTATGTTGCTTCCCAAATATGCCTGATCATCTTCATCAAGTCTCAGGATGGTTGAAGAATGGGGATACTGAATGCAAAGGAAAGGTCTTTGGAGAATTCGGAGAATGTCACTTTTTAAAATAAGCACCTCCTCAATTTGTATTTTGTTACTACAACTACTTACTACATTAAAGCAAAACTATAATGTTTAGAACCAATCATATGCATATAAACAAAACACATTTTAAAAATCATTTTTGTAAGTTTTTAAAAGACATATATATATATATATATATATATATATATATATATATATAGTGTTTTGCCTTTATAAATGTCTATGTTCCACATGCATGTTTGGTGCCTGTGGAGGCCAGATTTTGTATCAGATTCCCTGGACCTGGAGTTACAAACAGTTATCAACTTCCATTTTGGTGCTAGGAATTGAAACTGGGTTCTCTGTAAGAGAAGTCAATGATCTTAACTGTTGAGCTCTCTCTCCAGCCCATGAAAACACATTTTAAGGAAAATATTTCTTTCAGAAAATATGTTTATACTGTGAAGCCAATACCGACTCCATCTTAGGGAATGGCCACCATCTTAAACCACCCGCTGTACTCAGTTCCAGTAAGTACCTTAGGAATGTGCCATGACAACTCGAACAGATATAGGGCAGTATGCTCCTGCAGACATTCTGTCTGTGGTTTATGGCCCTTGAGATATCTAGATAATCCTCCTGAGCAGCCCAGATAATCCTGCCCAGCAAGTTGTGATTCCCCACCAAGAAGTCCAACCCCAATAGTTTAGAAAAAAATCACCTTGCCCCATATCCCTTCTACCCAGTCCCAAGTTGCCAAAGTATGTAATTCCAGCTTATAGTTTTTTTGTTTTGTTTTGTTTTTTTTTTTTTTTTTTTGGTTTTTCGAGACAGGGTTTCTCTGTGTAGCTTTGCACCTTTCCTGGAACTCACTTGGTAGCCCAGGCTGGCCTCGAACTCACAGAGATCCACCTGGCTCTGCCTCCTGAGTGCTGGGATTACAGGCGTGTGCCACCACCGCCCGGCCCAGCTTATAGTTTTTCCCTATAAAAACTCTCTACCCCTGGGCCCGTTGCCACTGTCGCATTTCCTTCCATCTGCCATGCCGTGGCCCAGGTTCGAAACCCGACAATAAAAGGACTTTTATGTGCTTGCATCAGAAACTGGAGACACAATGAAGCTAAGACTTTTTAATCACCATGTGTTTTCCATCTTTGACACTATTCAAATGTAGAGCAGTACAGTCAGCCAGCTGTATTGTAATTCTCTTTGCAGTCACCCCTTAGTGCAAGTCTAATTCTCTTTTGTATCCTCTAGAAGCAGTCTTTGTTTTCCCTTCTTTTCTGATTTACATCTGGAATGCTCAAAGCATTTTATCCTTCATGCAGATTAAAAATGAGAATGTAGAACTGTTGTGATTTCTTGTTAGATAAAGTACTTATTATACAAACATAAGGACCCTGGTTGGGTTTCCAGAGCCTATTTTTAAAAGTCAAGCATGCAGGTGGAGATAGGGAGACCTAGTTGGTATGTTCAGCCAATGAGAGACACTTTCTCAAAAAGCCAGATTACAGGATTGGAGAGATGGCTCAATGTGTTAAGAGTGCTTGCTGTACAACTGTGAGACTCTGAGCTCAGATATCAGCGCTCACATAAAAAGCTGGATATGGCCATGTAGCTTAGTCTGCCTGTAAACTCAGAACTGTGAGATGCAAAGAAAGAAGAATCATTGGGGCTTGCTAACTGGCAATCAAGCTTCAAGTTGAGTGAGATATTTTGTCTTAAGGGAATAAGTAAAAGAGTGTGCATGAGGATATATACCCACTCCCTCCACGTGACTGTAAGCCAAACACACACACACACACACACACACACACACACACACACACGAGAGAGAGAGAGAGAGAGAGAGAGAGAGAGAGAGAGAGAGATACACACACATACACACACAGATACAGAAAGACACAGATACACAGACACACACACACACACACAAAACAACAACAGCAACAGCAACAACAACAACAAAACAGGTGGATAGCCAGGTTTGTTTTCTGGCTTTCAAATATACATTGATTCTATGTACATACACAAACAAACACAACACTGGGTGGGAGAGTTGGTGATTTTCATATAGCTAATTCTATCAGTTTTTTTTTATAAGTGAATGAAAGGTTTTATATAGAATCCATTCCTGTTTGGTATCATTCCCAATTGTCTTTTCTTTCAGTGTTTTATTCATCTACACACTTAATAGGCTTTCTGAGTCAATCAGTTCTTACTTAGCATTGACTCACAAACTTCAAAGCACACAAAAGTAAAATAAGACTTTTTTCTTTTAAAATCTAATGTTTACATTAGTTCAAAATTAGGATAAACTTAATTTTTAAATAAAAAGT